TGAAAAAATTAATTAATAACTTAAATTAACTAAAGAATAAAAATTAATTGAGACTTATAGCAAAAGATTACTTACTCAAAGTAACAAAGCAAATACTTGAATAAAAATTTGCTATAGCTTAGAAAAGAATTTAACATTAACAACATACAAAAGATAAAAACTTTCATTGTAAACAATATAGTAAGATTCCATTTGGTAGTTGTTTCTGCTACTAGCTTTTTGCTTTCAGAAGCAGCAAGTACATTTGGATAGAAAAGACAATAATACTTTAAAAGAACTAAAAATAAAAAATATAATCTCTTGTAGAACAAAATACTATGATTCATCTTTTAATAGAACAAGTATATTACAAATTCTACTCATTTAATCATATATATTTTCAAACAATTATGACTTTGCTTTTTCCCTTTTAGGTTTGTTCTTTAGAAACCTTTTAGGAAGCCAAAAACAATTAGAAAAAACATAGTAAGAGTAAGGACCAATAACAACCTAAATTCTCATGACCATTTTTGCATCAAGTCTATTGGAAGAATGACCATACAATCTACGCAGGAAAAGAAGAAAAAGAATTTATATTTTCATTTTTGGTACGAAAAAGCTGGGAAAAACCATTTGCACAAAAACTGTAACAGCAAATAAAGCTGAAGGGTGTGTTTTTAGAAATGATATTCTCCTGCAAGTCCAATTATTACCAGTGCGCAATATCCATATAAACAAGTAGACCCAACTCGTGAGCCTTATCTATCAATGACTTAAGATTATCAGGGGTTCCAAAACGACTGCTTGGTGCAAAGATGTTTGTCGCATGATACCTGCAACATATTAAATGCAACTTGTTAAAGGTAGAAGAGGTTAGTTTCCATAACCAAAACTAAATTCTGAAGAAATATTTCTGTTTACATCCAAAACATAACATTTTAGTACAAGTTAACAAACATAAACAGCAACAAATAAAGATGAGTTGATATTTTGATGGAGATAATACCCAAATCAAGCATAATATAAGTGCTCTTGAACAGCCATGATTTGAATAGCATTATATCCAACTCTTTTAATGCAAGGAAGCACATCATCTCTAAAGTTGGCATATGTGTTAATTATTGGCTCCTGCATCTCAAAGTTGATAATATTAAGAAAACTAGGAAATGGATTAACCATACCAAAGTGTACCATGGAAGATAAAGACTGAAGGAGTTTGTGGGACAAATTTTCTTTGAATGATAGTATGACGAAAACTAGAGATAAGTTTTGGTTTAATTGCAAATTTAGGCTTCTTAATGGGTTTTAGAAATGGGTAAAGAATCATAATGAAATGCAATCAAACCAACTTCTATGTTATTGATTTGAAACTACTATTTAAGATATTTCTATACACAAAGCAGTTAACAGAGGTCCAAGTCACTAGCTGTTTGGCATTTGCATTATCATTAACTAAAGTAATACTCATTATTTAGTATAATCCAAATGGAAGGACTTCCTTTAACCAAAGAACACGAAAAGTAGGCCGCATGCACCTATGTGGCTTTTTGCTAGCTTAATTTGACAAATTTTCTCTTTAAAAGAGCCCACTCTGCCTATGGGATGCAAGAAAGTTCCGTTTCAAAATTTACAGGCCTTTCCAGATAGCTATACTGTTTGATGCTCTTAAAGATGTTCAATGCAAGTCAAAATGTTTCTTTATCTTCCTTGTGTTTTGTTTTTTTTTTTTGGGAAGAGGGGAGGTAAAATTGATAGTTTAAATACAGATACTAAGATAAATTTTCCTGTAAAATGTATTGCCTTATAACGCCTCCTACTTCACTTTTCGGTCTCAAAAACCTTGCAAGAACACTTCATAGGAAAGATTGAAAGAAATAGCATAAAAAATATGATCACACACATGATAGCATTTAATGAAGCTTTTTATCAAACTTAAGGTTTCCTCTTTTAAGATTAAATAAATCAAGGAAATGCAATTCAACATAAAGACAGAAAAGTTGAATAACAATTTGCTACATGCAAGGGAAAGGAAGATGCATACCATGCTACCCATTCCAACATGTGATTCATAGACTTAAGTGATTTTGGTCCTTTTGGCTGGGGGTGTTTGTATACATACTTTTCCTGTTATAGTATAAAAATCATTAGTCAGGATAAAGAGTACCAAAATTTGAGATAAGACATATTATAGACTAAACTAAGTTGATTGTGCTGTGCAGTGATTAAACTTGAACAAGCGAGAACACAATTTAGAAACTGACTTCATATATGAAAAAGAACCAATCAAAATTGTTTTCTTAAAAACCTTTAAGGGCATTCATGTTAATATTAACGTTATAAAGGAAGAAGTTCATCAAAACAACCTACTCTAAGAAGAATAAGAAATTCATTATTCGTTTATATATCAATTAATCATATTTGTGTGCAGGCATGCATGCATGCTTTTGTTTATGTATCCTCACACACATGCAGTCATTTTAAAATTATCATAAACATTAGTTGGTATTTCTAATTTTCCCCAAGCTCCAAATGTTTCAGCTACTTATAGTTTGAAAAGAATAAGTTATCTAATCTTTCCAATAAAACCAAAAGATCAAACAGCAATTAATTATACCTCTTCTGGCGGATCATAGTATATTCCGTTGTATGAGATTTCACCTAGTGCTCGAATAGAGAACTTGATCCAAGCAAGAATGGAGTCCTTTATCCTAGATGGAGTTTCCATATGAATCTACAATTATATGGTCAAAAAGTTAAAATAGACACATGGAAAAAGAGGTTTGGATGAATGATAATTGACATGATCATAATAGTCCACCAAAAAAATATTTTTTTTTTCCATCTTCATCTTTTCTTTCTTTCTTTCTCCCTTCCTTTTAGGATAGGAATTAGTTGGATTTGAACTCAGCTACCTTGAATAATTTTGCTTGACTTAGAGACCGCCCCAGTAAATACTTCAATGCCTTTATGTCATGAATTCTAGTAATTAATTATTGTGAACGTTGTACTACAACCAATGATTTATTCAAACCATATACACATGTAATAGGATCAGTGTTAAAAAAAAGCATCATACTTAAAGGTTCTTGGTCCTCAGATCATGATCAAAAGGTTAAATACCTTGTTGATCTACAGGGAAAAAGTTGCAAGTTTTAATAGTTTCTTTTTACTCTAACTTAAAAAAGTGGAAAAAGAAAATAATAAACAAGTAGTATTTGAATGTAAAGCACAATAAGTTTCAAGAGCCAAACTTATGTTCATCTACGGGTAATTTACCTTCACTTGAGAACCATGGGGAATTGGTGGTGAACCATAAGCATTATTAGCCAAAATATCTCCCAGACACCAAACTCATTCTGTTAAAAAACAATTAATATTGTAGAATTAAGCACTAGATGTTATTTAAATATAGAAATAGACAATAGATCACTGCCAGTGTAAATCAACACAGCTTTCTAAGCACTTAGAACATAGTCACCTTCCCTTTTATACTTGAGACTGCATGGCATTAAATATATGAATTAGCTGATACAATTAATTGTTACATAAGCAAGGCGACTTTTGCACTTAATTATAACAACTTTGACAACGTTTATCTTCTTAACTTTTCTATTTGGAGCTTTTAAGAATACCAACTGCACCAGACTATACACCCAATCTTTGGTCCATTAAGAAGAATATTCATGCTCACATACATTTAAAAAGATCCATGTTTACATTCAGATTTAACATTAAGCTAAGTGTTTTGACAAACCAAACTTAAATAACTTTTAACTTCTTTCGGCATGTGCATTTAGAGAAGATATAAGCATTGACTTATGAACAGCTGGTATTGCAAATACTACAGATTCTTAAGGCATACATCTTAGAGAACATGGGTTAGAGTCAAAGAGAAAAGCAGGGAAGAACTGATTATTATGACAGATGACAATTTAAGATGGTGGAAGTATACCTTCAACTATTGTTTCTTTTCCTCTTCAATATTAATAGAACTTAAAGAATGTTATTTTTGCAAATAATATATGAAAATCTGCAACTAATCACTCCAATATAAACATTTTATCAATTAAATGTTCCTTACTATGCTAATATTTCTAAAGTGTAAAACATAAATTACCTTTTATTGTGCTAGTAGCTCTTTAGGTGAATTATTTGCACAAAAGATGAAATATGTGAAAAGCAAGGATATTTTAAGATTTCTAGAGATGCCTGTTTGTTCCCTTCAAGTGTTTTTGGAATTTTCATTTTTGGCATCTTTAGTTGCTATGTTTCCATAACTCTTCGTCTACAATAAAAATTAGTTCAATTTACAACAAGCATTTTTAACAATTCTTTAGTTCATTCTACAATATTAAAACACTTAACTACTAGCAGGGTAACCTACTTATTCATGGCATATGGATTCAATTGATGCATGAAGAGAAGTGATGAAGCAGTAGAGAATTAGAAAAACATGAACAATACACAAATGTTTGGTAGGCTTCGCACACAAGTATCGTGTGCAAACTTTTTCAAAATCGTTTCTACACTTAGCATCCTCATGCATCACATAAAAAAGTATTGAAACCCCATTCCATTTATGCAACCTAGTTCAACAAATATTGCTATACAAGAGACAGGAGACTTAAAGCAGACATCATAATTCTGGAACAGATAAACGATTATAAGTCTAAGTATGCTCAATGTGACTCAAAGAGGAGTTATAGAATATACATCTTCACCAATGATGACAGCCTCAAGATATAGCCCATGAATCATATGATTAACCAGCATCAGATAGACAACAGCATCTACATTAGTTGCATTTCCGAAGTACTTATTGTAGTTTCTAGTAAATGTTACCTATAGCAAGTTCAAGAAAACAAAGGTTAAGCTGGGATAATACATTATAAAGATGCAATGACACTAAAAACCTTGAATCCTCAAGAGAATTTAGTTAAGAAACAAACATAGAGAAATGATGCTTCACCACTTACAAGAACCAAATGTTACATCAGTTCTACTTCTCTGTATAACATAAAGTCAAAACTTTGATAATTAACATCTAAACATGCGAGTAACTTATTATATAACACCAAGCAGAATAGAAAATCTGCAAACTCACTCAGATATTAACTGCAACCCATGATAGGTGTAATCATTGAAGTCACAACATTAAATCTGAACCCGTCAAACTTGCATTCTTCAAGCCACCATCTTGCATTTGAAAGAAGAAACCTTTGTACCTAAAGCAACAAGTAAAAATTAATATTTACACACAATAGGATGGAAGGAAGCCAAAATCTTTCAACAAGCTATTGTTTAAGAGAAGTTTCAATAGAAGTACATACTTCCCAGCTTCCACAATTAAAAAGGCGAGAATCCCACATCCAGTGGTGACCCTTTGACCCCGAGTGGAAGTAATGAGCATTGGTTCCATCAAACATGTTCAATCCATCTAACACATTATTAGATAAATGGTTGTATTCGTCATCAGTCAGATACCAAAGATGGATGAGAAAATTAATTAATAACTTAATTTAACTAAAGAATAAAAATTAACTGAGACTTATAGCAAAAAGATTACTTACTTAAAGCAACAGAGCAAATACTTGAATAAAAATTTGCTACAGCTTAAGAAAGAATTTAACATTAATGACATGCCAAATATAAAAATTTTCACTGTAAACAATACAGTAAGATTCATTTGGTAGTTGTTTTTGCTACTAGCTTTTTGTTTCCAGAAGCAGAAAGTAACATTTCGGTAGAAAAGACAATAATACTTTAAAAGAATTAAAAATAAAAAATATAATCTCTTGTAGAAACAAAATACTATGATTCCTCTTTTAATAGAACAATTATACTAAAAATCTATTGCATTTAATCATATATATTTTCAAACAATTATGACTTTGCTTTCTCCCTTTAGGTTTGTTCTTTAGAAACCTTTTAGGAAGCCAAAAACAACTAGAAAAAACATAGTAAAAGAAAGGAACAATAACAACCTAAATTCTGATGGCCATATTTGCATCAAGTCTACTGGAAGAATGACCATACAGTCTAAGCAGGAAAAGAAGAAGAAAAAGAGTTTATATGTTCATTTTTGGTACGAAAAAGCTGGGAAAAACCGTTTGCACAAAAACTGTAACAGCTAATAAAGCTGAAGGGTGTGTTTCTAGAAATAATATTCTCCTACAAGTCCAATTATTACCTGTGCACAATATCCATAAGAACAAGTAGACCCAACTCGTGAGCCCTATCTATCAGTGACTTAAGATCATAAAGGGTGCCAAAACGGCTACTTGGTGCAAAGAAGTTTGTCACATGATACCTGCAACATATTAAATGCAACTTGTTAAAAGTAGAAGAGGTTAGTTTCCATAACCAAAACTAAATTCTGAAGAAATATTTCTGTTTACATCCAAAACATAACATTTTAGTACAAGTTAACAAACATAAACAGCAACAAATAAAGATGAGTTGATATTTTGATGGAGATAATACCCAAATCTAACATAATGCGAGTGCTCTTGAATAGCCATGATTTGAACAGCATTATATCCAAGTCTTTTAATGTGGGGAAGCACATCATCTCTAAAGTTGGCATATGTGCTAATTATTGGCTCCTGCATCTCAGAGTTGATAATATTAAGAAAACTAGGAAATGGATTAACCATATCAAAATGTAGCATGGAAGATAAAGACTGAAGGTGTTTGTGGGACAAATTTTCTTTGAATAATAGTATGATGAAAACTAGAGATAAATTTTGGTTTAATTGCAAATTTAGGCTTCTTAATGGGTTTTAGAAATGGGTGAAGAATCATAATAAAATGCAATCACACCAACTTCCATGTTATTGATTTGAAACTGCTATTTAAGAAGTTTCTATACACAAAACAGTTAACAAAGATCCAAGTCACTAGCTATTTGGCATTTGCATTATCATTAACTAAAGTAATACTCATTATTTAGTAATACCAGAGAAATATTTTTTTTTTCATCTTCATCTTTTCTTTCTTTCTCCCTTCTTTTTGGGGCGGGAGTTAGTTGGATTTGAACTCAGCTACCTTGAATAATTTTGCTTGACTCGGAGACCAACCCATTAAATGCTTCAATGCCTTCATGTCATGAATTCTAATAATTAATTATTGTGAAGGTTGTAGTACAAACCAATGATTTATTCAAACCATATACACATGCAATAGGATCAGTGTAAAAAAAAATGCATCATACTTAAAGGTTCCTGGTCCACAGGTCATGATCAAAAGGTTAAATACATTGTTGATCTACAAGGAAAGAGTTGTAAGTTTTTATAGTTTCTTTTTACTCTGACTTAAAAAGTGGAAAAAGGAAATAATAAACAAGTAGCATTTGAATGTAAGCACAATAACTTTCAAGAGCCAAACTTATATGCATCTATAGGTAATTTACCTTCACTTGAGAACCATGGGGAATTGGTGGTGAAATATCAGCATTATTAGGCCAAAAGATCTCCCAGACACCAAACTCATTCTGTTAAAAAACAATTAATATTTGTAGTATTAAACACTAGATGTTATTTAAATATAGAAATAGACAATAAATCACTGCCAATGTAAATCAACACACATGTTTACATTCAGATTCAACATTAAGCTAAGTGTTTTGAAAAACCAAACTTACATAACTTTTAACTTCTTTCAGCATGTGCATTTAGAGAAGATATAAGCATTTACTTATGAACAGATGGTATTGCAAATACTACAGTTTCTTAAGGCATACATCGTAGAGCACATTGGTCAGAGTCGAAGAGAAAAGAAGGGAATACAGTAGCTCATTAAAAGCAACACAAATGATGTGTAGTTCATCAATAGATATAAAATTGCAAGAAAGCTGCCTCAGAAACAAAGTGCGGAGTTACTGATATTTTGACAGCACCAACTCCATCTTGTGACTGCATTATTTATGTAATGTATAGAAGGAGAAGATTCAGAAAGCAATCAAAGAAAATCACTTGTAGGTGCACCTACTAAAGTATTGCCCAATTATTATGAACTTCACTTAATGTCAAGTAACCCATCAATGGCAGGTCAGTTCTTACAGACATGGAAAATATCAATTCAATGCACACGTGGCATTTATTCTTGCACAAGAAAGCATAACATACCCGGCTCTATCTTGTGACTGCATTATTTATGTAATGTATAGAAAGAGAAGATTCATAAAGCATTCAAAGAAAATCACTTGTAGGTGCACCTACTAAAGTATTGCTCAATTATTATGAACTTTGCTTAATGTCAAGTAACCCATCAATGGCAGGTCAGTTCTTACAGACATGAAAAATATCAATTCAATGCACACATGGCATTTATTCTTGCACAAGAAAGCATAACATACCCGGCCCATAATATCTGCATTAGGTTCCAATTGTTAAAATTTCCAATCAGTGCTGCTGACTGAAAAAGAAAATGCAGTAAAATAATCACAAAAATTGAAGAGAAAACAAAACACCTAGAAGTTAATAAAACTTTTTTGATTGCATAGAAGTTAGTAAGATTAATGGTTAAAATCTCAAAATGTTAAAATGATGCATAAAAAACCCCAGCTCCTGGTGCCTACTCCCTATAAGTTATTCCTGTCTCACTGAAAGCTAGATGAGATTATATAAAAAAAAAAAAGCAATATCAGCTTATCATAAAACAACTTCTAAGACAAAAAAAGAAAACATGAATGGAGAATAACATTTTTACTAAAAATTAAAGTTAACAAGATAGCTATTAAGCAATGTAATACAAAGAAATGATAAAGGAAACAAGGAGAAGACATTCACAAATAAATAAATAAATAAATAAAATAAACATATAAAAGTGAAAAAATAAAGAAATGACAAATTCTAAGGGCTTTAATAAAATTCTCAATTTTTTCTTGCACCAAAGAACCAAATACTTGCTCCATACTTTGTTGAGCATCAAGGAACTGATTTCTTTCTTAGATTGATCTGCCTAAATTTTAAACATATAAAAATAAAAGATCTGGAAAATCATGTACACTATTCCCACACAAATCAATCACAAGAATATTCCAAACACTAATTTTATTTCAATGAAATTGCTCATTTGAACTAGAAAGAGTAATAATCAAAACAAATTATATTTAGCATAAAAGCGAATAACAGTGGCAACCATGGGGCTACCAATTAATATGAAACATTACAGCTTATGAAAATAAGTCACATGCCTAAACATTAGATATTGGAAGAACAGTAACCTGTATGTGAGTCAAGCTTCTCATAGCCAAGAGAAAATGCCTCCAAACCACCTTCAACTTGTCAATTTCCTCTAATATTCTCTTGTACTGTGCATACCTGTAATTAGATAAAATATACAAGGTAATAAAGAATGTCAGTGGGCACATACCCTATCTACAACATCATTAGACAATTCGATATTCATTGATCACGTTTGACTAAATTCAAACATTGTAAGAAGGGTCCGGTCAGGAGCATCAAACCTGAGTTTTCCGTTTTTTGCATCAAATGCAACATTTTCTCTCCAAAAAGACACACCCGGCCACTCTCCCCTAACCCAGATCCCGACGACGGTAGCCGACCCGGCCGCCGTTCACCGCAGCCGTTCGGCGTCAGTTGACTCCAAAATTTCAGCCGTGGACTCCTCTCTTCCTTCTTGTCTTAGATTCAGCCTCTGTTTTTCGCAAATCACCTCATAATAGCTTAGATCTGAAACTTTAACCCGAAATTTTAAACCGCCGTTCACACTCTTCTCGCCGTCCGGTCGTCCTGAAACCAAAGTATGTTGTTTCTCCCCTTCCATCCTTTCTTTCTTCCGGTTCAGATCATCCAAAAGTCTCCTCGCCCGCGCTGACCTCCATACGGCGCCATTGTTCCCACCGCCCAAAAAAATAGCTCTTTTCTCTCCTTTCCCAAAATCTTAAAAATACTCTCCCAAGTCACTCATAAAAACAAAAAAAAAAAAATCCCATGACTGAAAGCCCCTTTCATCCTCAACGGGCCCTTTTCTGTTTCTTTTTTTTTTTTCCCGATGGATTCCTCAATAGAGGACTGTGGTTGTTTGTAATTTTTTTTTTGCTTTGTTGGCTTGGTTTGTAAGCTAGTATGAATTGAAAAAAATTTTTTATGACAAGACAAAAGGTCATAATGATTTGAATTAGATAATTGTTCGTATAGTCTTAACTATTTGAATTAATTTGACATATTTTTTAAATCACTTAGTTATTAATTTTTAAAATATTATTAGATTAGTATTATTTTATTTCGAATAAGCTTGAACGAATAGAAATAATTATTTTATGGCATAACAAAAGGTTATAACGATTAGAAATATAAAATTGTTCAAATAGTTATAACTATTTGAACTGGTTCGGTAAACATATTTATTTTTTAAATTTTTTATTAATTTTTGAAAGATTAATAAATTGTTATTATTTTTTTATTTCGAATAAGCTTGTTTGATCAAATACTTATTATTTGAAATAGATAATTATTCTAATAGTCTAACTATTTGAACTGATTCGACAAACACATTTATTTTTTTAAATCTCTTACTAATTTTTGAAATATTATTAAATTAGTATTATTTGAATTGAATAAGCCAGTATGAAAAGAAACACTTGTTTTATGACAAAATAAATATCATAAAGATTTGAGATAGATAATTATTTAAATAGTTATAAATATTTGAACTATTTCAGTAAATATATTTTATTTTCAAATCTCTTATTAATTATCAAAATATTAATAGATCAGTATTATTATATTTTGAATAATTATACATGAATAGAAATAATCGTTTTACAACAAAACAAAATGTCATTATGGTTTGAAATAGATAATAGTTCAAATAAACATGACTATTTAAACATGTTCGGTAAACAAATTTATTTTTTAAATCTCAAACTTATTAATTTTTAGAATACTAATAAATTAAAATTATTTTATTTCAAAAAAAATTGTATGAATAGAATTAATTGTTTTATGACAAAATAAAAGATCATAACGATTTGAAATAAATAATTATTCCAATAGTCATAACTATTTAAACTTGCTCAATAAACAGATTTATTTTTTAAATATTTTACTTATTAATTTTTTGAATTTTAATAAATTAATATTATTTTATTTCAAAAAAGCTTTTATGAATAGAAACAGTTGGTTTATGACAAAACAAAAGGTCATAATAATTTGAAATAGATAATTATTCAAATAGTTATAACTATTTGAAATTGTTCAGAAAATATATTTATTTTTTAAAGTTTTACTTATTAATTTTTGGAATATTAATAAATTTAAATTACTTTAGTTGAAATAAGCTTGCATGAACAGAATCAATTATTTAATGACAAAATAAAAAATCATAATGTTTTGAAATAAATAATTGTTCAGATAGTCATAATTATTTAAACTTATTCAGTAAATATATTCTTTTTTAATTCTCTTACTCATTAATTTTCAGAATATTAATGAATTAGTATTATCTTACTTCAAATAAGCTTATATGAATTGAAACAAGTGTTTTATTATAAAAGAAAAGGTCATAATGATTTGAAATAGATAATTATTCAAATATTCATGACTATTTGAACTTGTTTAGTAAATATATTTATTTTTTAAATCTTTTACTTATTAATTGTCAAAATATTTATAAATTAATATTATTTTAATCTGAATAAACTTGTATGAACAAAAATAATGTTTTATGACAAAACAAAAAGTCATAACAAGTTGAAATAAATAATTGCTTAAATAGCCATAATGATTGAACTTGTTTGGTAAACAGATTTATTTTTTTAAATCTTTTACTTATTAATTGTCTTAATATTAATAAATATGTATTATTTTATTCAAAATAAGCTTAGATGAACAAAAAAAAAATCTTTTATGACAAAACAAAAGGTTATAGTTATTTCAAATAGATAATTATGTAAACAGTCCTAATTATTTAAATTGTTTAGAAAACAAAGTCATTTTTTAAATCTTTTTATTATAAAATTTTGGATTATTAATAAATTAGTATTATTTTATTTTGAATAAGTTTATATGAATTGAAACAATTCTTTTATGACAAAGCAAAAGGTCATTAAAATAGATAATTATTCAAATTGTCTTGATTATTTGATCTAGTGTGGTAAATATATTTATTTTTTAAAATTTTTTACTTATTAATTGTCAAAATATTAACAAATTAGTATTTTGACATAATTGCTCAAATAAAAAACAATTTATTAATAACAAGGATTATTCTTAACTTCAATTGTTAAGTTAATTATCTATTATTTAAATTAAAAATTTATTTTATATTAAATTATATTAATTATTAATTTGAATTAAATTAAAATATTTCAATTTCGAATAAAATTAATATATTTAAATATTAATTAAAGTATTAACTAATAATTTATTAATATTAATAACTATATATCAATTTTAATATTATTGATATAATTATAAATAAAATTATTAATATTTAATAAT